CCCGCCCGGCCCGCGTTGTACCACCAGCCTCCAAAATATGGCCCCCACACTGCCCAGATGGGGTCTGGATGGGTCTCCCACCGGCCTGGCCACCTGTCCTGCACCAGCACCGCCAAGTCTGTCCTGCGGGGGACGGAGAGAAGCCGGCCTGGTGCTGGGGCTCAGGTGCCACCACACTGCGGGTCTTGGAGGAGGAGATCACTGCCCCTCTCCGTGTGTCACGTGGAACCTGGAGACGTTCACCGAGTGCTTATCAGCGAGGGTCTGGACAAAAGCCACAGTCACAGGGGCGGCATAGCACATAGTTCCGGGACCCTTGGAAACCTCCGCCAGGGTGCCCCCCCGCGCCCCGCCCCGTCCCGCCCCCGATCGCCCACCCCATACACACACACCCCACCCCACGCCCAGACCCGGCTTCGCGTGTCTCCTGCTCTTGAGCGTTGGCGCGCTGCTCCAGGGGTCCGCGAGGCCGCCACATTGCGTTCTCTCTAGGTGAGTCTCCCGCGCTCGCCAGCGCCAGGGGCGAGGAAAGGGTGGGAGCAAGCTCCGGGAGGCACGTGTCGGGGACTAGGGTCCCCGACCAGAGGGACGACCCCCAGGCTGAGCCTCCGCTCCCATCCCCCACCCCTCCCCGAGTATTTCCAGGGGTCTGGGACGGGAACAGGGATTCGTCAGTCAGCTCTCCAGCAAAGGAACAGACTGGCGGGTGGAAAGGCGCAGAATCTTGCGGAAGTCCTTAACCGGAAGGGGAGGTTTACCGGTCCCCTGACTGATTACTCTGGGACCGAGTCCTGCCCCAGGGAAGAGGAAGAAATCTCTGGTTTGGAGCCAAATTATGCACTCAAATAAAGTGCACTGTCGCAACTGGACCCTTTCCATCCCTTCAGACCGGGCCGGCTCCTACTTCTCTTGCTGGCCACTCAGGGTCAGCTCTCAGTTCCGGGGTCCCAGGCGGCTCTGCCCAGCGCCTGGGGGCTCCCGCTGCCAGAGGGAGCATCAGACAGACTCTCCCTCCCCAGCCAGAGCTTAGCTCAGCCCTGAAGGGCTCGCTGGGTGGATGCCCCACAGTGGACAGGGAGGGATGCCACCCGACCTGTTCCTGGCTGTGCACGCTAGAGCTTCCCTGGAGACCGCTCAGGGCTCTTCCAGGCTAAAACCTCACTTTGTGGAGGAGGAATTGGAGACTGTCCACCCTGGGCTGTCTGAGGCTGGAAGAGCGATGTTGGCCCTAACTCTGACCACTTGGAGCTCTTTTCCAGCCCCAGGATGTCCGTGTGTTGCAAGGCCAGTGGGGTGAGGGGCCAGGTCAGAAGCCTGAATCTGGGCCCAGCATTGTTCACCCACTTTCCATCAAGTAAGAGAGAAGCTTATTTTAAAAATGGAAAAGTGGGTTTATTCATAATTTGGCCAAATTGGGAGGACAGCTGGGCCACCCTCCTGGAGCTAACAGAAGCTCACTCCAATATGCTGGGCCCAGACTGGGAACATTGAATTCTCCTTGGCCCAGGGGCTCGGGGATGGGGCGGGTGGGGTGGATTGGAGTTGGATGGGGTGAGGGGTTTCTGCTCTCAGCTGGAGGAAGCTATAGAAACAGCTTGTTTTTTTTTAATCCTGATTTTTGAAAATCCACTTTGATCTTTCAGATACGGGCTGAAGTCCAGGCCTAGAAGGGAGAGGCCTGGGACCCATTCTTAGGGGTCTAGCCTGTGCTCCACCGCTTGTGGCCCTGGCCAGCCCAGATCTGTACTCCCCAGGATACCCGCCCACTGCCCCAAGGCTGATGTGAACCAAATCCTGCCTCCAGCTTGTTCCAGCCAGTGCCACAGACCCCAGCCCTACAGAGGAATCCTGGTACAGAGCCCACAGCAATCAGGTGTCCCCACCTAGCCAGGATTCACCTATGCCCTTCCTGCTGCCTCCCAGCCATGGAAGAGGGTAGAAGAGCCTCACTGAAGGCACCCTTGTGGAAACAGGAAGAAGGGGAATAGGCCCCCAGCCCTCATCCAGCAGGAACAACCTAGGGCCCCAACCCCTAGTGTAGCCCCCAGGCCTCCACCTCAGGAGTGGCTTGGACTATAGGCACCCGGTTAGCCAATACCATTTCTGATCACCATTCCACTACATCAGGACCACCAACAAGGGCTACTCGCAGGGCTTCCATCTCCGTCAGATTCTGAAAGTGTTGATGTTCCCCAACTTCGCCTTGCTGTTCCCATGTTTGGGGGTGGGGTTTGTAAGTAATTGGATGCTGGCAGGTCCCTGCACAAAGTGGGGGTGCATGACCCTGGGAAGAGTGAGCAGTGCCCAGTCACCTGGCACTGTCTGAGCGGGGACCCTGGCCGTGGGTGGGCAGCCTGGCCTCTAACAGCCGCATCTCTCACAGCCACAGCAGAACTGGCTTCTTTGGCTTTGTAAGCCCTCCACGGATGTCTCCCCTCTCAAGCATGAAGGTCTTCCTGCCAGTGCTGCTGGCTGCCCTCCTGGGTGTGGAGCAAGGTGCGGTGCCTGGGACCCCGGACCTCTTCACAGGCCAAGCAGCCCTGGATCCTGTCTCATGTCTGCCCTGAGCAGAGACCAGGAATCCTTCCAGGCCACCTCCCATGGGATCTTCTGGGTTCTCCTGGGCCCTCAAGGTCTCAGTGCTGGCCTAGGCATTCTCTTGTCACCCTGTGTTTGGAGGTCACTTGAGCTTGGGAGGGCCAGAGTGTAGTGTCATCAAGAAATGTCCACAAGCAATTGGGTGTCGAGGGCCAGGACTCGAAAGCCAAACTAGAAGGCCTCCCTGAGAGAGAGAGGCATAGCCTACAGCATGTCCTTCCTTCTGTAGCCCTCTCCCTCATGTGCTTCTCCTGCACCACTCAGAAGAGCAATTTCTACTGCCTTTGGCCAGTCATCTGCTCCAACATTGACAATTACTGTGTGACTCTATCTACCTCTGCTGGCATTGGTAAGTGCTGTTAAGAAGTGACCAGGCCTCAGCCCCACTGTCCCCACCTGGCCATTCCCACAGCCTGAAGCCAGGGCTCTACAGGGGCTGCTCCTTTCATCTGTGGAGTGTCTGTTCCCTCATAGCCTTTTTTCCACATAGGGAAAATTGTGGACTATGGCTACAGCCTGAGCAAGGGCTGCTCCCCTACCTGCCCTGGTTCGATCTCTGGCATGTTCGTGAGAGCTGTGGACAGCAGATGCTGCTCAACCTCCCTGTGCAACTTCAGTGCTGCTAGAGGTGGGCCTGAGGCCAGCACCTCACTGCTGAGCCTTGGGCTTCTGCTCAGCCTGCTGTCGGCCATGCTATGGCTGGCACCCTGAGCTCCTTTGCCTAGTACCCCCACGCTCCCCCAGCTCTGGAAGAAAAATCCAGCCTCTTCCAGACACCAAGAGGCTATTGGAGCATCTAGCTCCTCTTCATGCCTGATCTACCCTCTTGGCCCCTGGGCCCAGCCCACCACTGCCCCAGTGCCAGCCACCTCATTTCTGGGCTCGGCTATGTCCCCCTGAAGTTTTAAGGTCTTAGGAATGGAGCTTAGTCCTGTAGATACACAAGAGGAACACCTAAACCCCATGTCTTCTTGGTAGGTTTTTGAGAGGGGGGATATGTTGGGGAGGGCAGGACAAGATCAGGCCCAGTGGGGTCACCTGAGAAAGCTCCTTACCCTGGCATTTCTGCACACACAATGCACTAACTTCATGGTGTTAGTAATGGCTTCAGCTCCAGGCACCCACCCCAGATTCAGCTGAGCTCCTGTCTGACCCGCCCTCACATGGGTGCCCTTCTGCTGCTTTAGTGCCTCAAATAAAAGATGCTCCCACCCCTTCCTGTTCTGCACTGCTGTCTTTGTGCCCCTCCCAGCAGGGCCCTCATGGGGGAGGGAGAAGCAGAGATGCTCAGGCTCAGAAGGGCCTGGGTATCCTCCCTAGTACAGCCCCAAACTGAGGCCCACTGGGGTGGCAGGGAAGAATAAGGCCACCCTAAGTCCACAGCCAGCTGCTTATGAGGTCTAAAAGGGAACCCTGACCAAGGGATTTATACAAGATGAAGAAGGAAGGTCATGGCCCACAGTCTTGGAGTGTGGAGACCAATGGTGCTTCAGCTAGCCTTGGCTGAGGAGGGCACTGTCCTAAGTACAGCCATTCCAGGCTGTGGAAAGACCAGGCAAAGCTGGACACAGGACCTCTCCCCAGATCCCTGTCTGCCCAGTCACCCAGGAACTGAAGTAGCCTGCTTGTGCCCACATGCCCTTGTCTTAGCTACTTTTCTCATTGCTGGGACAAAATACCCAAAAGCAGGAAAGGTTTATTTAGCTCACAGTTTATAGACCACAGTCCATAATCTGCTAGCTCTAAGGCAGCATGGCACATGGCAGAGGGCAAACAGTTCATGGCAGCAGAAGACACCAAAAGCAGCAAGAGCAAAAAGCAGGGAGCAAGCCTTTTTTCCTCCCTTATATTGTATGCAGACTACCTGCCCTAGGACATGTGTAACACTCGTACTCCCAATCCCAGCACTAGACAATGAACCAATCACAATTTCTAGATTCAGCTACCTCAGAAAAGCCCACCTCCCATGACTGAATGAGGCTTTGGGAGGACATCCAGATATAGATCACAACAACTTTGCTGATGAGAAATGTGGTCTGAGCTCACAGGAAACATGGCCCAGGCCAGCCGTTGTGCTCTGTCCATAGAACTCTTGGTAATGGGCTGGTAAGGAACAGGGCAGGAGTGTGCAGGAAGCTGCTCTTCTTGAATCTGGATGCCCTTTGCAGATTGGTGTTTTCAGACACTCCCTGGATGCCAGGTTGGGGAAGGCAGAGCTGAGGCACAGTCTGCTCCAGAACTCTGTTCTGGCTATAGAACAGAGGAGGACCCAGCAGGGAGGTGGGACCTGCCTGTGTCCCATGATCCTCTTCCCCAGTCCTTCATCTGAAGCTGTGCCCATGGCCAAAGGAACAACCACTCTATCTGGACAACAGGCATGGAACAAACAAGTGCCATAAAAAAGAGGGAAATATCACCAAACACCTCACCACAGACACAAATAGAGCGCCTCAGCCTACAGCCCAGGAAAACCCTCCCTATGGGTCACATGACCCAGAAACAACACAGACACCTTTATAAACAGCCTGAAATGTGCATAACAAGCAGGTGATTGAACCTCTGGGCAGCTCTCTGGCCACCTGCACCCATTGCTCCAGAGTGGGCTTTTCCCCCTTGCTTCCACCCCTGCTGCCACTGTCACACACTTCCTTGCTGATTTGCCCCAGGGTGTGTCTGATTTTGAGTTACTGCTTGTCCAGGTGGCAGATTGGGTTGGTGTCCTCAGAACCCCACCCTGGAGGGGGTGGTGGTCTTCGTGGAAGCTCAGGGTGGGCATCTGAACTCTGTGAGCTTAGTATCCTTGTCATTGCCACCAGAGGGGGATAAGACTGAGACTGACCCCTAAACGCCTCAGGAAAGAGCCAGCCTCACCAGCGACAGGTAGAGATGTCTGCCCAGGGTGGCTCTGAGAGATGGGTGCCCCATTCTAGTTAAGCAAATCCTGGGAAAGGCTGGGAATCATGGCTGAAAAAAACAGTTCCTGAAGAATCAAAAAGCAAGAGGAGCAAGGATAGGAGTTATCCCTCATGATACCCTGCCATGGCCTTCAGGTAGACAGTGTTCCTCTGCTCCTGATCTCAGGGTGTAGGGGTCCACTTCAGGGTCAGGAGCTAGGATTCCACTCCAGGGTCAGTGGAGCCATGGAGCAGAAGGGAGTGACAGGGACACTAACACTCCCTCCTGGTACCATATGTACCTGCGACTCCTCAGTGATATTAACTTGGTGATTCTTCTCATCACTCAGAGATGGGGGCCTGGCTGAGCCTCAGGGAGCTGAAGCTACTTGCCTTTCTCCAGTCAGACCTGGGGGCCCAGCCTTCCCCCTGCTCTGCTCTGCTCTGCTTTGCTCTGCTCTGCTTTGAAGGACACTATCCTCTTAGGGCTGAAGTCCAGGCAGCTTGGACCTCTGTGAATGGCAGGTGCTCCTGTCTGGTTCCTGCTGGCCCTCAGGAGAGTAAGAAGGCTGTGAGGGCACTGCAAGGGGATCTTGGATCCTGGCCCCTTGTGGGGGCAAGTGGAGCCTAGAAGTCAAGTTTTCATTCCTGATCCAGGAGGAGGGAAGTGAGCTGTCCATAGAAACAGGGTCTAAGGTGGGGGTGAAGGAGGAAAATGCACAGGACCTCTGACAGAACCAACAAAAACACTGAGTTTAGGAACAAAGCGCAGTTTATTTTGTCTGCATCTCTAAAAGGAACTAATATCTCCTTGAGAACTCTGAACAAAGCTTTGTTTCCACTTTTATATTATTTGCTTTCTATGAGGAAAGTTTCCATTGGAAATCAGCATGAATCAGAGTTACAGAAATAAAGCAGTGATTAAGGGGGCTGAACAGTGATCAAGAATAGCAGGGAGTTCAGGCAAAGCTTTCCAAGTCCGATATGCTCCATTGACATTACCTCGTAGCTGTACCCATACATAGCCGGGGTCATAACCATCAATTTCCTCTGGCAGCTTAGCTTTACAGTTAACCTATACTTGCCCACCTTTACCCCAGAAGGGGGCTCCATCTCTCCTTCCCCTTTTTGAGGTTCTGTTGATGAGCCTTACCTTTTAAATAAACTATCCTCATCGTGTTCCATTTGATTAATACCCATGTTTACATAGTTTTTCATAGATAGATATCCCCTAGTCCACAAAATATGGAAGGTTCTTTTTTGCTCTATGGTAGCATCTATCTATTAAGACCCGCATTGTAATGGGTAACAGACATAGGATAATTAAGCAAATCCCTAGGATAGCAATGAATCCTCCCACCAATGATGGTTTTAAAACTACCTCAATTTGAGAACCATTGGCTACACATCTTTCCCAGATTCCATCCTTTCCAGGTCTGCACTGGTACATGGGCTACCTCCTACATTCTCTCAGTGACTTTTTTTTATCACCTGTTCTTGATCATCTATTTGAAGGCAATAATTGGCTAAGTTTGAACTTTCTACAAACTACCCCCTTTTTAGCTAGTAGGTAATCTAGTGTTAATCTATTTTTATATACTGTGTTTTGAATTTTTGTCTGTTGGTTAGCTAAGAAATTCAGTGCAAGGAGCATTTCCTTGGATGTAACTTCTAGTACAACTTGTAGTAAAATTATTTTATTTAACATATAAATGGGAATTCAATATACCCACATTTTATCCTCGGCCCAAGTGGCTGAGCTATAATATTGGATTATTTTGTCTGGTGGCCATTCATCATCTTTCTAATTACCTATGGTTATATTTCTTTCACAGGAGCAAGAGTATACAGGATAGCCCAAAAATCCCCCTTGGCATAAGGGCAGGAGAAGGAAGGACGGTTTGACAGCACCAAAGATGTAACTTTTTGCCCAAATTGCTGGGCTCAGCATAGGCTCTATTCCCACATAACCAGTGTAACTCCCTGGGAGCTGATCAAAAGATGAAGGCAGTTATAGTTTCTCCTCTGAGGCTCAAATCCAGGAACTAGACTACGGGGTTGGCTTCAGTTTTGTTTCCTTACCATTCTGTACTCCCGTTGGCCTCGTTATAAAATCTCTGTCCCAGGCAAGTTGGTTCTCCTACATGGACCTGGAATCTTTTTTCTTTTTGGGTGAGGCATCATCTCCCAATGATGTTGGTCTTTAGGATCCATGTGTTGCTTCTCTGTATAGATGGCTGTGTGGCCCATTCTGACCACTTTTTTCCATTTTGAAGGCTTCATGATGGGCTGAGTCTCATTTTCTGACTTCCCAAGGGCCACTGGTCTGCCATCAAGATTCCCCCACACACACAGCATGAGGTGATTTTCAGGGAGTATGCTATGCTCTCTGCTTGCCCCATGAAGAGGTTTCAGGTCACAAGGATTTTCAACAGGGGTTGGATCATTTCCTCATAAAGGCATGCTAGAGGTGGCCAAAGCATAAGTATGTTTTTCTGATATAAACCACCATCCCTAGGTCATGACCCCAACCATCTGTTTGAAGCCCAAAATCTCTGTCTTCTTCCCATCCTGGTTCCTGGGAGTCTAGGATTAAGAGTGACTGAATTGCATGTCCCAAGGGTGCAAGAGGATGGAAGCTTTAATATTTTAGAGGGAATACTGTTTGCCAGGTGGCCTGCCCAACACATGACCAGTATACACACCTGAACTCACCTATGTCACTGTACCAATCCCCTTTCCAGGGACACATACATTTTTATTATAGTTGTAGTCTCTTTCCCATCCAAGGCCTCTACATCCTACAAGGGGAAATTTAGTTTCTCCTCCTTTATGGGGAGATAGTTTATTTGCCTTGGTGGCAGAATTAATGGCCATGCAGCCATCAAAATATAGGGTTACTGGGTCTCCAGGCTTTGCCCTCATAGTTCTGTCTATCAAGGATCCAAGCCACTTTTTTCTCTCTCCCCATACTGTCCCCCATTGAGACACAACTTGAGGTATAAACTCCCATGTGGTTTCCATCTCTAGATTGAAGTAGAGAGCTGGGGTACCATCCTTAGGTTTACAGATCCTGTAAACACTTAGGTTGGACACAGGTTCCAAGCATTTCTCCAACACAATTATAGTGTGAAAGAGCATAACAGTCATGATGGAGTTCCCCATTGAAGGGACATGCAGGCAGGGGTCACAATTATTGGTTGCTTCAATGGGGCATTTCCTCTGCATGTTGCTCTTGACATGTAAAAGATGAGGATCCCTATTACAGACAGCTGATACCAGCAAAATGTCACACCCACAAAAGGAAAAGGA